AGAGAATCCGATGCTTAAAATAAAAAATTAAATGGAAACAAAGTACAGCTCAGCTTTTAAAAGATTATGCACTGTCGCAAAATGGGCAATTACGCATGACAAAGAGCAATTAATAGAAGCCCCTTTTAAGCACATGCAGCTGCTTTCGCCTTGAGAGAAGTGGGGCACTCGGGCAATGAATGCCTCCAAAACCTGTTTTGTCTTCAGACGCGGAAACCGCTTTTTTAATAGTTTAAACTGCAAAGTGAAATGCTGAAAAACGCCGTTAACGTGAACTTTTGAGCTCGAGGACATCGTTTAGGCTTTCCGTCCAAAACCGATTGTTTTTAAAGATGATGGAACTGGGAATTCTAGACACGTGTCCAATCAGTTCTGTCCATGGTGACTTAATTTAGTGGGAACTCGGTCATCACACAATATGTCCCGAGCGCTTTTGTCGGGGGGCTCTCTAGAATGGGCCCTTTCTGAGACGTGTCAGCTCCTTTTTAAGGCGTCCCATTATTGCGCTCCTAAACGTGCCCACTATATTATCAAGTGTGCTTAGTGGCTTTGCTGGATTAGAATGTATAGCCGTTGTAAAAAGAGGTCAGTTTTGAATGAGATAATATATGATTATATTATATTTGTCACACAATGTTATAGAGGACAGAATATTATTCATTACTTTGGCCAGCTCATTCAGGTGGAAATAAGGAGAATCATGGTCTGGTATAAGTGGCCTTAGACTATACCAGTGAAACATATTAAAGTCTTAGATAGATAGATAGATAGATAGATAGATAGATAGTGCCCACTATATTATCAAGTGTGCTTAGTGGCTTTGCTGGATTAGAATGTATAGCCGTTGTAAAAAGAGGTCAGCTTTGAATGAGATAATATATGATTATATTATATCTGTCACACAATGTTATAGAGGACAGAATATTATTCATTACTTTGGCCAGCTCATTCAGGTGGAAATAAGGAAAATCATGGTCTGGTATAAGTGGCCTTAGACTATACCAGTGAAACATATTAAAGTCTTAGATAGATAGATAGATAGATAGATAGATAGATAGGTAGATAGATAGAATGCACGACCATGTGAGAGGAACCTGTGGAGTCGAGTAGCCTGAGGAACAGGTGTCAATTCTATTTCAAGATCTCAGCCCTGATCACAGTCTATTCCAGATATGTGTTAATTCATGATAACATATGTAATTATTTGGAGAATAAACAAATAAAATGTCTTCCTCTCAACAGACTAGTGTTCTTTGTTGATTATATTGAGGGTTGAAAAGCAGACTTGAGGCCTGTAAATAATCAGAATGAATGCAGAAACATATCAGTTCTTGTCATTGTAATCAGTTGCAAATGTTGTATTTTGTTCTCTAAACAATTATTGTGCTTTTTTGAACATCTACATTTTAAGGAATTGTTTCTGCAAGGACAAACAGAAGAGGATCCAAACTGCATAAGCAGCAGACCTCAGCTTCTGGAACTGGAAAAGGAGTTTATTTTTAACAAGTACATTTCTCTTTGAGGTACTAACAGGCCATAACACTAAACCTGAATGAACGATATTTCAAAACACTGCATAATAATTCAACATACTGATATCATGTGTGAAAAATCAACATGGAAAATTATTTAATGAACATTGTGCCCTATTTTTACTGACTTAGAGTGTAGAGACTTGGTAAATCAAGAACAAGACCAAATTATGAGCTTCAATTCAGCCTGAATTTCATACTAAAAAGCATACAGATATGAAGAATATCTTTGTGCGTATATTTGCCACTTATTAGGCCTACAGTAATCGGTTGTAAATGTAATTAGTCAGTACAATACAATAAGTCAATACATACTCATTTTCATGATGTAAGAGGCCCTATGGAGAATGGAATAGCGGGGACATTTTAAATGGTAAAGATGTCTATGGGTCATTAGTAATTTAAATAATCGGCTGCTGAATTTTGATTGACTGTTGGTAGTCATTTTGTTTGTTTGTCAAATTATCTTGTTTTCTATGTTTAATTGTCTTGAAATGCTACAATTTCAACTTCCTCAATCGAAAGGTTGCAGTAGTCAGCATTCTCTGTTATACCGCCACCTATAGGCGAAACTTTACGAAATTTGATGTGTGTCCTCGGAATATCCTGTTGCCAATGCAAACCAAGTTTCATGCAAATTGGCTTTTGTAGACCAACAGCTATCACTCTTCAGCTCATGGGTTTTCTTTGAAACTAAACAGTGATGAGGATCTGGAACTCTACCCTACACTTTTAGGGGGGGGTGGGGAAATCGTATGGCCATGACAATCTGGACAAAAACAAGAGGGTTACTTTTATTGGCCTATAATGACAGAAAATGACAGGGCTATTTTCAGCACCCAACAATTTAGCCATACAGATTTGAACAAAAAGTAAAATTATTGTTTTACTTTTGCCTTGACATTTCAGATCTCTAGGCAACCAAAGCCCACCAAAAAAGTGTGTCCTAAATGTTTACTTTAACATTTTACACCCTCCTGTGCAAAACTCCTATGTTGACTCAGTGTTTGCGTTCAAGGTTAACCATCATTCATTATAAAGTTTTCCTCCGCGCAGAGCAGTAGCGCTTCCGCCTGCCCCACGCCCACAAATTTATAGCCGATAAAGAAAAAAAATAGCGAGCTTCAGCACGCTGGACAGCGCGTGTGTGAAAACAGCGCGTCAGAGCCAGTGACAACTGACCATGCAAACAGTATGACTCCATATCAGCACAGATAACAAAGAAAGCTTTTTCTTTTGGAGTTGGAATACTTGAATATCTTTTCCCCCACCATTTTGATCGAATTAATCCTTCTAAAAGCATTTTCTGTTCTCCATAAGCTTTGCATATTTTCACGCTTAATTTTTTATGTTTCTAAGACTGAGAATTAATATCAAATTTGCCTTAAGGAAACTGGAATTGAACCTTCTTTACTACTGGTTACTGTGTTAAATCAGTTGACAACGTAGTAGTAAAAGCAGATTGTGGTAAAATTACTAGTCTGTTCTTTTTTTTCTGTGAAACAACATATGCATGTCAAAATGTCAAACCTCAAGTCTTTGTTGTTATTGCACCCTTTATCGTTATAGCTCTAATAAAGTGAAATTAATGTGTTTTAATGTGGTTTGTACTTCGAATCCATTTGTATTACTCCCAGGGGGCTTTAATTCTCTCTCACACTCTATCTCTCTGATTCTCTCTCTCTCTCTTTCTTAATAGGCTTGAACTGTAATGACAGGAGAGAGATGGATGCAGGCTGTCCCACCGATGGACATAGGCCCATACGCCACCATGTGGTTATCTCTCTCTAAAGATAGTCTAGACTTAAAACTCACACCGCATTTCTTCATACAGACATTAAAGGTAAAAACTCGGCCGCAACATCAGCCAGACTCTCACTGGATGTGCATGTTATTGTAAAAACGATTTATTCATCTTGTCGTTAGACTAGGCTACTGAGAGGAGGTAGACTAAAGTGCTGGTGTGTGGTGTCCCGTAGCTGAGACAGATTCTCCCTCCTGCTCGCGCATTCGTCCCATACTGGATATTCTTTTAAACTGAAATGATTTCCGAACAAACAGTCACATTATCGCTGAATGCGGAATATTTAACGTTATCTTAGATTTTTTCTTTTACAGAGTCATGTTGTATTGTTTGTTTTGTAGTTTAAGAACTCATTTTATTTGGAAAAAAATGCAGTTTGTATGAAATATTTTATTAAATTACAGCACATCAAAAAAATTTAGAAATTATCTGTCGAATTTTGAGAGTTTCCACGGTTGTTTGAAAAGTGCATGGTTTTAAACTTTTCAGCAACTTTTTGAGACAGCTGATCTGATCATATACTGTCATTCAGAATAGTCTCATTATCAAACAGGCTACGTCTGTTTGGTATATAGTTGACAGGTCTGCTTCTTAAATTGAAATACCTTTAATGCAGAAAGCTTAACAATACTTGAACTGAAAGGGCTAGAGGGGGCCAAGCCTGCCCCGGGCTTCACTCACCGTGTGCTGGGACACGTAGAGTACTAATTCATAATGATCCATTATCTGCAGTCTGGTATGCCTTAGGAGAAGAGGTATATTGGCAATTCTGTCTTTGAGGGTGTTTTCCACAGATTTCACATATCGAATACAGATGAACCCTATATAAAGTTTCACGAGTGACAATGTCTTAGACGCTATTTAAATGTTTATTTAAAAGTAGGTTATAATAAATTATATACAGGAAGAGAGACTGAGAACGATTGAAATTGTTTCTTATGTTAGAGCGCCCCCTTGCATGCGTCAGCACGTGCTTTTGATGGACCCCCAATGTTGCAATTTCTCTACTGAATGAACCATTTCACAATCACACTGCACTCTTCACAAAAACAAAAAAAAGTTTATTATCTGAGAATCCCAGGCATTAATCACATTTTGTTTATTAGAAATGAAGGCTGAATAAACTGAAATAATGAACGTCCTTGCAGAAATGACACGAGAACCACAAATGAAAGTCATCTTAAATGAATATGCATAAAAGAAAGTGCAAATAGCTGCTGCAGCAGCAACAACCACAACTGAAAAGCGCAATCAACTAAAAGCTGAACGTGAAGAATGCAGCGTGATGACAATAATCGAGGAACTGAATGTAATTGTGCATTCCCAATTCTTTGATTTCTTTCCTACCTAAGCCTCTATAAAAACACTTTTAATGGGTCACTTGCCTTCATTGTCCCCACAAAAAGATCCCTTTATTCCAAAAGGGCCCCTTTTGGACTTACAAAAAACATATGGTCCTTTTCTTCCCCGCTCAACCTCTTTTCATGCACCTCCTTCAGAACTGCAGAGCACGGAGAAATCTGACTCCTCTTCGGAGCTGTAGTGTGAAAACACGGACTCTTATTCTGAAAGGACGCCTGGGGCAGAGGGAGGAGGGGCCGTTTCCTGAGAGTTATTTACTTTGAGCCAGATGATTAGTTCTCTGGGAAGGATGGACTGTAACATTGAATCAATTACAGGTTGCTGTTGCAGAGGCGCATTTGTGTGAGTGGCCGTGGAGCAGGACGGAGGTGCGCAGCACAAGCGAGAGGATTACTATTGCTTTACAACTGAGGACCCTTGGGCTGATTAGAGTATTTTACAAGAGCTTTGCCATTCATTTTGGCTGTTCTTTTATCAAAGGGAGCAACCAAAAGGGATTAAAAGGTATTGTATGTTTACATTAGTTTAATTCGTTTCTTTTGTATTTTCTTTCATGCAAAGTTTCCCTCAGATATTCAAAAACATTTGAACCTTTAAGTATAATTGCACTTATTCAGGATTAGACTAATTAAAGCTGTTCTTTTATTTCTTTTTTTTAACAATTGCATTTTTAAATTAATTAGTTTTCTCCATTTCTGAGACGAGTAAAAAGAAAATTCACTATAGCCCTATATCAACTCGCTAAATTGTTTTACTTTTAAATGACACGGGGATTTAAATTTTTTTTTTTTTCATCAACGCTCACGATGGACAAAGTCAATCATTCGTTTTCATCTCAGAAAAAAAGAGACGGATTTTTCAACTTTGATTCTGGACACTTTTGCATCGAGCAGGATTATAGACTTTTCCCCCCAAGGAATCGCATTGTCGTCCGTAAAGTCAAAGCCTGGTTGTGCTGTGTCTCAGTTGGAGCCGCAGGCGCGCAGCTGGGGGTGTCTCAGCCCGTGGAGAGGCGCAGTACTGGCATCTAATGGCAAGCACATTTCGGACTAGATTTGGAACCTTGTTTACCCATCAAAATTTAAATGGGATGCCCATAACCATACTGGAATACCATTCGTTGGATTAGACTGCGGAATGGATATTTGTTTATTAGCGATGGAGTCAAAGCACGATTGAGGAGTTTAGAAAACTTCTTTGCCGCCTCATGCGCTGAAGTCCGAGTCGATGATGAATCTGCATGAATGGGGAACTTCTCTCACATCTGGATTAACTTAATGCAATTTAGATGCTATTTACCAAGGATCAAGAAGACCGTGTTGCAGGCTGAAACTGGATGAAATTAAAGAAAATTATGCATTTTCTCTTTTCTATTTCTCTGCAGCTATTACAACTGTACTCAGCAAATTTACCTCAACAGACTATCTTTAGACCGCTTTCTTTTATTCCCATGGAAATCGCTTTTACGCGTGAAGTAACTGGGTGTTGGAGGGGGCACCCCTCGCTCAGCTGTTGCCCGAAAGTGTCAAGCGCAGGGGATCGGTTGTGTTTGGCAGCCAGTTGCGCATCTGTGTGTGGGCGCCTGGCGATGGGGGGTGCGCAGAATAAGTGCGGGCCGAAATTTGCGCTCCAGTCACCGCTGGACAGATGAGCGGTACCAAAAGCGCACCCGTATGCGGCTGCCATTCCACAATTGATTCCCACGGCAATCCAATGGATTCCCAAATTGCGGCACAGAAAGGGGTCGACTAATTACAGTCTTACTCAACACCCCCGGATTCACCAAGGACAATTAGCTTGAGACGGCTGACATGAGCAAACGGCAGAGCTTCAAGTCTTCTCTGGGCTGTAAAACGAGTTTTTTTTTTTTCTTCACTTTGAAGTAGACCTTACGGAACCACTTATCTTACAAAATAACTGGACATTATTTCATTAATTATTTACCTTGGTTTTATTTATCTAATTTTTTTTTTTTTTTTTAAAGGACTAAATTAAATAATTGGTGCGTTTCTTCAGGATAACTGAGTTTTAACAGAGCTGACCACTTCAGATTGAGTGGCATTGACTGTCTGCTGAAGCGCTGATGGAACCCATGGGTCTGAGGATCAGACAGACGGAGATAAAACACGCGCGCGTGGAATGTCTGATTGGAAATTTGGCAAAACAAGCACTTAAACCAGTGACGGGACTTTGAAATCAAAAGAAACAAAGACAATGCAACAAAGTGTGCTGCAGGACTGAAATCTGTTTACGCACTGTAGTCTCAACATTCAGAAAAAGTTTGAATACCAATTTAAATTCAGATGACCAAATTTAGTTTTAAAATAAAGTAAACAGTTAATCCCATATAATGTCCGCACATATATTAAGTAGCTAGCCTATAGATAGGCACAATAATCTTAATAATGATATATGTGTCCATGTGAGCTGTTATATGTTAGGCCTATATTTTGCTGTATACGTATGTTTTAGGATTTAAAAAGTTACAGCTGTACGAATGTAGTGAGAAAACGCCATGTCTTCGGGAAAATGTGTACTGTGTCTCCACCTCGTGGTCAAACAAAGCTGAACCGAACTATCCAAGCGTTCCGCCGACAAAGAGTCTGGCGTCAGTTTACTGACTGAACCGCGTCCAGACTCTTTAAAGACCTTTTATGTCTTGGCACTGAACCTTTCCAAAACGTTCTGCTGCCGATTATTCAGTGGTCTCCCTAGGCTACCTGAGCTATTACTAAATAGAGGTTCATCTTTTATATTGGATTAACCACCACAAGAGATCAATACAGGACAACCAAGAACTCACACAGACATTGGCTGTGTTTTACATGTTTGGATTTTTTTCTTTATGAATTTCATTTTCTGTCTATTTTATCAAATAGAATTTCATATTTTCTCCCCTTTCAGCTGAGCACAATCCAAGTGACCATGGGGTTCCTGGAGACACATCTCGTTTTGGGGATTGTCTTACTAGGGGTATTTTCTTTATTTTGAGTAATGTTTTAAATATATATATTTTAAATTTCATTTGCATTTATTTTACTAATATACCACTGCTATTTAAAGGCATAAGCTATAATTAATCAAATACATTAAATATTTCCCTGCAGATGTTTCAAACCCTTGGCCGGTTATTAATTCCGATAAAAAGGAATTAATTCTGACACCTCATTCTGAGTTCACCATCACTTGCTCCGGAGATAGGAGAGTGACATGGGTTGAGCCGTTACCGCGCAACAGTGAAGTGCAGTCTGGATTTAATCACAGTACTTTGGTGATCACTGATGCTGTGGCCTCTAACACAGGATATTACACCTGTTTGTATGAGGATCAACCTGAAAAAGACACTGATATCTATGTTTTTGTTCTAGGTACATTATTGTTCAGAACAACTAAATATATATATATAAAGTAATTAGTAAGTTGTGCATTTGTAAAATGGACTCCCATCTCTTTTTCCACAGATCCTGAGGTTCCGTTCGTGTCTGAACCTGCTGTTGAGACAGATGAGGTGGGCACAATTATCCCCTGCCGTGCTACAAACCCACATTCTCAAGTGATTCTCAGAAACCTGCAGAGTGGGGATGAGGTTTCTGTGCTTTACGACCCCAAACTGGGCTTTTTCGGTGTATTATCACCGGGTCACTATGTCTGCGAGATGAGCGTGAATGGCAAAGCAGCGCACAGCATCGTTTATAATGTGACAAATGATAAGGGTAAGTAATGCACCATAAATAATTAAACATTTAGAGGGTTTTATTAAAATTGCAAACAGTATAATTGATTTTTTTTTTTTTTTAACAAAGAAAAGTGAAACGTTAGGTCATAGCTTTGACATTACATGAGTACCATGGGAGATTAGAGAATTCTTGTTAGCGAAGAGTGATGACATTTTGAGTTGGGGTGGGCTGCAGGTGTGAGATGCATTGCTGATGCATGCTTGTTTCATTTTGAATCATCATACAATGCAAGTTACTCATGAGAAGAGAGTAACCATTAAGAAAGAGAAAAAGAGTGATTGGGTGTTTCTGTATTGGTTCTGGACTAAATTTGAGTATGAAGTAACTGGCCTTGATTTCACATATGTTTTTATTATTATTAAAGGACTAGTAAACAAAATGAATTTAATTGTAGCATTGTTCATGTTTTGAATGATTTGTATTGTACTGAAGATTATAAAGAGAAGAGCTTCAGCATACAGCTGAGAGCCAGTATGGAGGACGTGAAAGAGGGGGATGCTGTCAATCTTACCTGCGAGACCCCTCCTGGGAAGGCTTTCCACCAGCAGTGGCTGCATCCCCAAAAACAGGCAAGACCCTCATCTCTTTTCTGTTTCTCTCTTGCCCTCTCTGTTTTGTACTTAACTACTATAAACAAAAACTTATATGAACTCTATAAGACTTCTGGTGTGATGCAGAGGCATATTCTGGGGCAGTATATTCTCGTTCTTTATTTAATGGTAGGAGGGAAATGCAAAAATGTACAAAAGTCAAGGTAGAAACCTCAAAGGAAGGAAGTGACACTAATTTACTATGGACTTTGACCTATGACCCGCATGTCCTGTGAGTGTTCAAGACAGATGTGCGTTTCTCACCTCTGTGAAGCCCTCTGTGGTTTTGTGAATCCACATGTGTGTGCGAGTCTGGGTGTATTAACACGTTTAATGAAGGGTTTTTCCAAAATAAAGATGCCTGGTAGATAGCTTGAGTTCATATTTTTGTGTGTTTGATAATTGATGTCAATTCCAAATCAAAAGATGTTTGTTAGTTAGTTGAAATTGTTGTGTTTATTTGATGATAATTGTAAGTTCCAAATCAAAAGATACTAGTTTGTAAGTTAGTTAAGTTGTTAATTTTAGTTGATATAATGGTTGTGTTAGGTAGATAGTTAGCCAATGTAGTTTTTGTATGGTTGATGAACAATGTGAGCTTCAAATCAAAAGATGTTAGTTAGTTAGTTAGTTGTTTTGTTTTGCATTTTTTTATATGAATTCCAAATTAAAAGATGCTTAGTTAGTTATTTTGTTAGTTGGTTGGTTAGTTTTAGTTGAAAATTTCTGTATGTATTTGGTGGTGTTTTTTTCTTTTTTCTTTTCATTTCTTTTCTTTTCTTTTCTTTTCCTTTTTTTTTTTTTTTTTTGGTTGTGGGAAAAAAAACATGCCAGTTAGTTAGCTAGTTAGAGTTTGTGTGTTTGTTTGCTGGAATGATTTATATTTCAGTGAGTTTGAATGTATCATGTAGCTCACCATCCATTTAAATCAGTCTGTCAGAAGCATTATCTTTAAAAATAAGAGTCCTTGGTTTTTAAAAGCAGCGTAGAATTGTGTAGAGATGCTCCAATTCCTTGTCTGGACCGGAGTCGTTCTGGGTTCTGCTGGGGCTGTTTGTGATGAGTACAACCCTTTAAAAGACTCGTGTAGAGCTGCTTTATCTCCAGCAGACAGCACTGAAATATGGACATATAAATGTGTTACAAACACTAAAGTACATCTTTGCAAAGAAAAGTGGAGTTGATTAAATACATTTTTTTTTTAAAAGTAAAGAAAAGTAAGAAAAAGAAAAATTGCAGTTGATCGCTGTCATGCTGTCATCATTCCACATGTGTATCCATAATAAACACAATGTGTGTAATACTGCTCTTTATTTTTCTCTCCTCATTATTATGCTATCCAGGCCAGAGATGCTGTTCCAATGAAGTTAACATTCCCAGACAAGGTTCAGTACATCCTCAACATCCCAAAAGCTTCTGTGGCAGACACTGGACGCTATGAGTGTGCTGTAACCAACCAATTAACTGGACAAACCGAGTCTCTCATCCTGGGAATCACAGTCCACGGTGTGTACTTCTCTTTCTTACTTAGACTCACCTCTGCTTTCACCATTAAAACCAGTAAATGGAGATGGGCTGAACAGATGTGCAGTCGACAATCAATCAATGTTCTTTCTTTCTTTATTTCTTTCTTTCTTTCCTTCTTTCTTTCTTTCTTTCTTTCTTTCTTCTGGCCTTTAGAGAGATCTTTTGTAGAAGTAATATCTAATGGCATTGGGCCAGTGGTGGTTGTGTCGCTTCTGGAGGAAAAAGAGTTCACTATTTACATTGATGCTGACCCTGAGCCAAAGGTCAGGTGGTTTAAAGATGGCCTTCAGCTGGATGACAGCTACATCTCCACCAAGACCACTCATCTGACAGGCCTCAGGTAGAATTTAACAAAATTGTTCATAAAAATAGACATAGAAACTTCATATTTACTTACTTGTCTTTCTGTTAAAAATAGTTATGTTTTATCTCATAATCTCAATTACTGATAATATTTCTGTAAAATACAGTGTATCGTAATGTATTGATATATTTCTTTAATAAGATATTACAAATGTTTCATGGTAACATTTTACTTGAATGAAAAAATAAGCATTTTACATAAATAGATAAATACTGTAAAAAATATATTTTTACTTTTTTAAACAAAAAATTAACAACAAAATATATTCTATAATAATTGTTTTTAATATTTAAAAATGAACATTAACCTAAATAAATACTGTAAATATATTCAAAAAATATTTATTTAGGTTAATGTTCATTTTTAAATATTCATTCAACTTAAAAAATATATATTATTATATGTGACCCTGGACTACAAAACCAGTCTTAAGTCGCTGGGGTATATTTGTAGCAATAGCCAAAAATACATTGTATGGGTCAAAATTATTGATTTTTCTTTTATGCCAAAAATCATTAGGTCATGTTCCATGAAGATATTTTGTAAATTTCCTACTGTAAATATATTAAAACTTAATTTTTGATTAGTAATATACATTGCTAAGAACTTCATTTGGACAACTTTAAAGGCCATTTTCTCAATATTTCAGTTACACAGCTACTCATTATTTTTAGTAACAGACTGTTTTATAAACCACGATTTAAAACAAACGCGCTCTTCTGAACTGAAGTACACTGGTTTTCTGAACAGCTGATGTGAAAGGGGTCGAGACACGGGTTCTGTCGAGGATTGCACCAGTGTTTTGTAATCCATTCACAAAGAAACTGCTGTTGAAAGATGAAGCAGATGTTTTGGATCTGACTGTTACTGCATCGCAAAGCTTCATGATGCTTTGTATATTTAAGGATGTTTACAAAGCACTCGCGTGCAATACTTTTTCCCTATATTAAGTAAAGATCTTGTTCCATGAAGATATTTTGTAAATTTACTACTGTAAATATATTATAACTTAATTTTTGATTAGTAATATGCATTGCTAAGAACTTAATTTGGACAACTTTAAAGGCAATTTTCTCAATATTTTTTATTTTTTTTTGCACCCTCAGATTCCAGATTTTCAAATAGTTGTATCTCGGCCAAATATTGTCCTATCCTAACAAACCATACATCAATGGAAAGCTTATTTATTCAATGGAAAGCTTATTTTATGGAAAGCGAAAAATTTACCTTTATGACTGGTTTTGTGGTCCAGGGTCACATATGTGGAAATTAACATTGACCCAGATTCATAAATGCTGTAGAAAAAATATTGTCGTATTGTGGTCATAAAGTAGAGCTATCTTGAACTAAGTATTGTTAGTTCATGCTAGCTAATGCATTCACTGATTTTTAACAAACTCAACCTTATTATATGTCACCAGTTTCATAGTACCACTAAAATAATTATAATCATTATGACTTTTTCTTACAAAGGTATGAGAATATTCTGGTTCTCCGCCACCCCATAGAGGAGGACAGTGGCGTCTATGAGATTGTTGCGTCCACTGGTTCCAGAACTTCAAGCTTTTCATTCAAACTGCTAGTTGAAGGTATAATTATATCAAACAGCAAAACAATGTATGAAGTGTCCGCAATGATTCAGAAACCCAAATCTAAAGCTTTAGTATATATGAGTTGTGTATGAGAAATTTAAATGCTTGTTCATGTCATGATCAGCCATGTACCCAGAGCTGCCACAGTCAGTGCTGGCTCCAGTGATGTGGCCCCAGAGGGACAGCATGGAGGTGTCTCTCCACTCCACTTTCAGACTCACATGTCGAGGTCAGGCCGAGCTCTCCTGGCATAGCCCTGTTTATCTCCACGATCAGATCGACACTGCAAAAAAGGGACTCTTCATCTCCACTGTGACTGTTGGCAATGCGACAGCCGCCCATACAGGAGAGTACATCTGCTACTATGACTCCAGCAACAACACTGAGGAGACTTCCATCTATATTTATGTGCCAGGTACAGTAGGTACTAATTTGTCTTTTTGCACAAGCCGGATTTGACACAGTAACATTGTTTAAAAGAATAGTATACTATATAGTTAGTATGAAGCCCTTTGTACATGGCAAATTGATATTGAATTTCTTTCCGACAACACACGCAGATCCAGAAACGCCGTTTGTGCCATCCATGGCCCCTTTTGAAAACCATGTGCTGACGAGTCATGATGAAATGGAGATTCCCTGCCGTGTGACAGACCCCAGCGCCAGCGTCTCTCTGATTCACATTGAGACCAATCAGGTTCTGTCCAGTGTCTATGACAGCAAGAGAGGATTCATTGGTCTCTTCAGTGCTGGGACGTATGTCTGCAGGGCCCTCATTAATGGACAGAAGCATGACAGCATACAGTACATCGTTCACGGCTGGGCAGGTGAGAATGGGTTTGATTGTGTGAATGGCAGGTGATATTGTTTAATGCAGAAATCATTGGGTTTTACTTTTGTTTTAATTTACAGTTAAATAAACATGTTCTTGATCTAAATATACTTACAACAAGATTGGTTTACTTGAGAAGCAAAATTGAATAAAAAATAAATACATTTCATTTTTCTATTTTTAAGCAAAAACAACAACAACAACAACAAAACCATTTGCTATTGAGATAGAAAAATAAACTTAATTCAAGAAAATATATAAGAAAAATTATATATGTATATATATGTTATATTTCATTTTTTACTGGAATAAACATGACAGAAAGGCTGATTAAATGTAGTTAACTCACTTGTATATAGCAAAAAAAATAGAAAAATTAAAAAATATATAAACAATATAATTTTTTAAGTTTAAAAAACAAAACTTTTTTATTATGTTTTTATTGCATATGCTTACTGTAATGTGTGTCATGTGTTGGTCTTGTAAAGACATGTTACAGATGTAATGTTCTTCACTATGTTTCAGAAAACAATGATTATTATTTCTTCCCCTGCTATGCATTAACCAACCAACTTAACTTGCCTTCATTATATTGTCTCTCAGGAGGGTCTGATTTGCGAGTCGAGCTGCGAGCAGAGAAGACAGCTCTGCTGGTGGGTGAGACCATCACTGTTGACTGTGTGGCCAGAGGAAGTGAGATGCTGGAGGACCACTGGAAATACCCTGGGAAACTGGTGAGATAGAAACAGAATAAAAAAGAACAAAATTACTTCACATTCCCTCAAATCGTGTGTAAATAAAATACAATCAATATTAAACTAATTATATATTTTAAATATATTTATATTCTCCCTCTGTCGTTCTCTCTTAGGCGGATCGAGGAGTAAAGACCGTAAAGGAGAATAAACGAGATCTTGAAATCTATTATACTCTGACAGTGACTAATGCCTCACCGAAAGACAGCGGTGTCTACGCCTGCTCCATTACGGATATTATGAGCAATGAGAGCCAAACCAAACAGCTCACTATTACAGTCTATGGTACAGAGATCACATACACTCGCACAGACACACAATATAAAATGATTTTCAATGCATATGTCAAATTCAAACATGATTAACAATTCACAGTGATTCATTTGCAGTCCTAACCTGCCCTTATGGCTTTCATGTGCAGATCGTGAGTTTGTGCGCATAAATCCAGTAACTGGTCCAGTGGAGACTGCTAGGCTGGACGAGGTGCGAGAGTTCAGGGTGGACATACAGTCTTTCCCCGTCCCCAAAGTCATATGGTTAAAGGACGACTCGGTCCTGGGAGATGTTGCTGCAGAGATCACCACCAACCTCCTAAAAATCGACGAGACAAGGTGACTAAAATAGCTCTACCTTAACATATTCACCATTTTTCAAAAAGCACATTGCATTTTTTGTGCTTAAAAAGAAAAAAAACTTTAATCACTTCAACATCCCTTTTAAAAGTGTTGCGTTAAAGCTGTCGTGTTGTTTGTTCAGTTACCAGGGTGTGTTGACCCTGATCAGGGCTAAAGCAGAGGACAGTGGGAACTATACCATCAGGGCAAAAACAGGCAGCCAGACTACCAGCAACAGTTTCTACCTTCAGGTTAAAGGTGGGACCTTTTCTTTTTTCTGTACCTGCAGGTTGTTTTTGTCACACCTTTATTTACCTACATTTGCATGTGTTTGCTTTTGCCTCTGCTTGATGTTTGTTTATCTCAGTGCACCTCTATATCTTTCTTAACCAGTCTTTACATACATTTGTTTAGGTTTTTCTTGTTGTCAACTGGAGGACCTTTGTCAAGCAACTAAAAATCAACGAGACAAGGTGACTAAAATAGCTCTACCTTAACATATTCACCATTTTTCAAAAAGCACATTGCATTTTTTGTGCTTAAAAAGAAAAAAAACTTTAATCACTTCAACATCCCTTTTAAAAGTGTTGCGTTAAAGCTGTCGTGTTGTTTGTTCAGTTACCAGGGTGTGTTGACCCTGATCAGGGCTAAAGCAGAGGACAGTGGGAACTATACCATCAGGGCAAAAACAGGCAGCCAGACTACCAGCAACAGTTTCTACCTTCAGGTTAAAGGTGGGACCTTTTCTTTTTTCTGTACCTGCCGATTGTTTTTGTCACACATTTATTTACCTACATTTGCATGTGTTTGCTTTTGCCTCTGCTTGATGTTTGTTTATCTCAGTGCACCTCTATATCTTTCTTAACCAGTCTTTACATACATTTGTTTAGGTTTTTCTTGTTGTCAACTGGAGGACCTTTGTCAAGCAACGTGTAGCTACAGTGTAGCTACATGTACTTACTGTATAAGTGCAGGTTTTCTTATGTACTGTTTCTGTCCTAACCAAAAGTGTGGAAAATACAGAAAATAATTGCCAAAAGTTAAAGTATACTGTTTTAAAATGGTACTCAAGTTTTTACATTTAATAGTACTTAACTATGTAAAAAATTGATTGATAATATCAAGAAACTTTTGTATGAAACAAACTTTTAAATCATAAAACCTGTTATAAAGCATCAAACAAATCAATAATGTTTTGCATCATTAAAAAAAGTGTGCGTATGAAGTCAATTTTCCATATATTTATATGTGTTGCACTTTGTTGTTTCAAATGAAAAAATACTAATAAATTATTTGTGGTATATTATTATATTTTTTTTTGTAAAGAAAACATTCATGAAAAATAAATATATATATTTCAAATATTTTGGAAATATCTTTCTGATGCATATAAACTAAACTACCGTTCAAAAAGTTTGGGGTCAGTAAGATGTTTTTTTAAGATGAAAGAAGCTCATTAAGGCTGCATTTCTTTGATCAAAATACAGTGAACCACTGTGAAATATTAAAATTTAAAAGTATTATTTTATAATCAAATTTATTTTTAAATGTAATTTATTACTGTGATGGTGAAAGCTGAATTTTCAGCATACATTCATCCAGTCTTGAGTATCACATGATCCTTCAGAAATCATTGTAAAATGCTGATTTGCTGCTCAAGAAGTGTTTCTTATTATTATCTGTGTTGAAAACAGTTGTGCTGCGTAATATTTTTGTGGAAGCTATGATGCATTTTTTTCGGGATTCTTTGATGAATAGAAAGTTCAAAAGATCAGAACATTTATTTGAAAAAAAAAAATATATATATATATATATATATATATATATATATATATTGTAACATTATAAATGTCTTTTCTGTCACTTTAGATCAATGTCATGCATCCTTGCTTGAATCAAAAAAATAATAATAATGGTGGGACCAGTGATAAAGTTTGGCAAGAAAGTAAAATTCTTTCTCTTCTTACAGTCCCCCCTGTGATTGTGGACCTGATGGATATCCACCATGGCTCTGCTGCAGGTCAGGAAGTGATGTGTACTGCTGGCGGCTCCCCCACCCCTGACGTGGAATGGTATATCTGCAAAAACATTAAACAGTAAGCAGTCTTCTTTCTTGTTTCACTCTGCTACCCTACAGGTATTGTTTCTATATTACTGTCATCCTTTATTAAATCCTCAGTTCTCACTCTTTCCTTCTACACTCTAAAAAATGCTGGGTTAAATACAACCCAGCGCTGGGTTATATTTAACCCAGCATGTTTTAGAGTGTATAAAAGCAGTCCAAAGCAGATGACACGGTCTCATCCCTAGAGATTAAAGTCAAGTCACCACGACGACATCATGCTGAGCTCACTTTTCTTTCTTCCACCAGCTGTGCCAACGATTCCTCCCAGTGGATGCCACTTCCGATCAACTCTACGGACATCACTGTGGAACTGCAAATGGATGTGGACAACAACATTGAGAGTAAAGTCATTTTCCACCATCTTGAGAGCACAATTGCTGTGCGCTGTCTGGCCAGGAATGACATGGGTGCTGTTTCACGAGAAGTTAAACTTGTGTCAAATGGTAAGAGGCCTGTTTTTGTCTCTTTAGAGACGCCTTTTTTATTTTAAAAGTTGATTTTATTGACCAGTCCATTCTTTGAAGAGCTCTGAGTCTCTTTAGTGTCACTGTTTGTTATGGGTAGACAATGTAAACAAAGTTTCATTCTAATTTGAAACTAATTTGAATCACAGGTGTACAGTGTTTTTAGAGATGCATTGCTGGCAGTAGATCTGCACTGAGGTTAGGTTTTGTTTGTTGAGGTTTCAGTCACTGTAAGGAAACATCTCTGTGTTTATGTGTGATTATCTGTTAATCATGGTTCATTAAATTCAACAAATGCTACTTTAGTAGTCTTTACATCTATTAGCCTCATTTTGTAAGCCGTGCCTGTCTTGTCAGGCTCCCCATGTCTTTTTCCTGTGATAGATTCCTCAGGTGGACCGTCCATGGTCTTTAGAAACAAATCCATATGTGTTTACACTAGTTTCTGTTGGCAGGATTTTTGCTTCACTACGTTACAGTTTAAATAAATTGCTCACACTGGGCACCTTGATTAATACAGCATACAAGAGTGATGCAGTTCAAAATATTGATGCTATTATGATGACATTGTTAGGTATGTAAATTAAGCTGTAGCTCATTAAGACAAGTTTGGTTTTGGCAGTTTTCAGAGTTTAGTTTTGCACCATATCCTTCCATATCACCACCCACCTCTTCCTCATTGCTGCTGCTGCTGGTGTGTTCAGGTCCGCACTCGGAGCTCACTGTGGCTGCTGCTGTTCTGGTGCTGCTGGTCATTGTCATCATCTCACTCATTGTGCTGGTCATTATCTGGAAACAGGTACTCACTCATTCATTCCCTCACTCACTCATATACATTGACTCAGTTGCTCTCATTCACTCACTCATTTACATTGACTCATTCATTTATTCACTCACTCACTCACTCATTTATTTAGCAGTTTACTCATTCTCTCGCCCACTTACTCATTCATTCACACTAAATCATTGACTCAATCATGCTTTAACTCACTCATTCCCATTTACTCATTCACTCACTCATTCAACCATTTGCTCATTTACCCATTTACTCACTCACATATTTACTCACTAACCTGCTCACCCAATTAAACGCTTGTTCATTTATCCATACTTATCAAAAGTTTGGGGTCAGTAAGATTTTTTCTAAGAACTGAATACTTTTATTCAGCAAGGACTCATTAAATTGATCAAAACCGACAGTGAAGACATTTATACTGTGACAAAATTTATATTCCAAATTAATGCTGTTCTTTTACATGTTCTTTTCCTCAAAGAATCCTGAATTACAAACATATTTTTTTCTAAAAAAAAAAAATATGAAGCAGCACAACTGTTTTCAACATTGATGATAATAAGAAATGTTTCTTGAGCACCAAATGATTTTTGAAGGTTCATGTGACACTGAAGACCGGAGAAATGGCTGCTGAAAATTCAGCTTTGCCACCATAGAAATAAAATACATTTTGAAATATATTAAAAAAGAAAATTGTAAATAGATTGTAATATTTCACAATATTACTGTTTTTAACAGTATTTTTGATCAGATAAATACAGCCTTGGTGAGCATAAGAAACTTATTTTAAAAACATTACAAATCTTACCAAACTTATGAGTAGTGTCAGATTTACTTATTCACCCTTTCACTCATTCATTCACTCAGTTACTCACTCACTCACCCATTCTCTTACCTATTCAGTTATTCACTCACTCAATCACACATTTACAAATCACCAAATTCACTCTCTCACATTCAGTCTTTTAGTCACTCATGAATAGACATAATGCAGCAACACATTCATGTTAGCTTCTGTGAGGGCTGAAATGAGATTAATTGAACACCTGTCACCTGTCATTTTGCTTGTGTGTGAATGACACATCTCCCCTCTCAGAGTGTGGATCAGCCTGACCGTCCTCCAGTATCTGAAAGCTCTGTTACTGACCACATGAGAATTACTCTCTCCTTGTGCATGTCTTTACAGAAACCCCGTTATGAGATCAGATGGCGTGTGATTGAATCGGTCAGTCCGGACGGTCACGAGTACATCTATGTCGATCCCATGCAGCTTCCATATGACTCCCGCTGGGAGTTCTCTCGGGATTCACTTGTACTGGGTGAGTCACTGTTGTAGTGAATCAGTCAACCATGATCCTGTCCTGTGGATTCGGTGTAGTTCAACCATCTTTAAGTGACACTTTGTTGTGGTCATGTACTTGATAGGATTATGGTCATCTTGTAAGCCCATCCTAATATGACATAATCACAATGAATCTACTAAGCAGATCTTATTTAGGAGCTTTGTGTGGTGACTGTTCAGACTGATAGAAGTTTTTGACTCAAACATCAAAAATGTTCTTTTACTAACAGAAAACCACTGTGGTAATACTGAAAGTTACAGAAAGCAATTTGAGTTTGCATGCTTTTTTAGACTAGATAATGTTTCTGTGGCATCCTCTGGCTATGCAAATGAGTTCAAGTTTGTGTCTATGTGTGTGTGTGTGTTGCAGGTCGTGTCCTGGGCTCAGGAGCATTTGGGAAAGTGGTGGAAGGCACTGCTTACGGACTCAGTCGTTCTCAACCTGTGATGAAAGTGGCTGTGAAAATGCTTAAACGTGAGTTAACTGAAGTTTAACTAGTAGTTGCATATACGAAATGCATAAAATTTCTTTATAAACAAGATAATAATCACAGAAACATCTCATCAATAAATGATGATGATGATTAAGGACATTAAAACACATATTTGTTGAATGGTTTATGTGTTAGATACATGATGAATACATCCATGGAACCTTTACATTTCACAAAAGGTTCTTTATAGTGAAAAGGGGTTCTTTAAATTATTCAAATGTTTTTCATACTAAGAACTGGTTCTTTTAAGAACTGTTCACTGAAAGGTTCTTTGAGGAACCCAAAATCTTTGCGAAAATCCCCTTTTGAATTTTTAAGAGTGTATTTAACTGGTTAATATAATTGCTTCCTCAGCAACAGCACGCTCCAGTGAGAAGCAGGCTTTGATGTCAGAGCTAAAAATTATGACCCACCTGGGCCCTCACCTAAACATCGTCAACCTTCTGGGAGCGTGCACCAAATCAGGTGAACATGCACAAACACACAGATACCAAACACTAACACTTGGTCTCTAGGGTGGTGTCTTCTTGGTTCATGGGTGTTTGTAGTGTGGCATTTTAACAGGCAGAGTTAAGTGCAATGTAGAACTTTAACCTTCTGTTTTTAGACATTTTACAAGTCTCTGATAAGATTAGACCAGTTTTTATTAACACTGTACTCACTCTTTCTCTTTTTGTCTCTCAGGACCAATCTACATTATCACAGAGTATTGTTTCTATGGAGACCTGGTGAATTACTTGCATAAGAACAGAGATGGGTTTCTCAGCCGCCACACAGAAAAGGGCAAGAAAGATCTAGACATCTTTGGCATTAACCCAGCCGATGAGAGTAGCAGGAGGTCAGCCAACACACACACCCACACAAAAGATCTGAATTCATTCAAATGAGTGAATCATAAAAATCATTTGTAAAAATGCCATTTTAGGTCAAAACATGATGTTATGAAATTTTGATCTGGCTCTTTAATCTGATTGAAGATTGATATTGTCAGGATTTCAGTCTAATTAGGTATGAGAAGTCCTGACAACAGACAAGTAAAGAGATAGAGAGTGAGCTACCTACATAGATTGCCTTTTCCTGCTGCCTACAAAGACAGGTATCTTTAAAGACGTCCTTTATTTCAGTGAATTAAAACTATTTTTAATAGTTTTTGTTTTAGTTAACAATAACAAAAATGCTCTGAGGAGGATATATGCAGTGCTGCCTTGGAATTTGGCCAACATGATGTATCTTAGGAAGCAGCATAGTTAAGTTGTTATAAAACAAACAAAAGTGATACTTTTAACACTTTTCAGAGAATACTCAGGAGGTTACTGGCCACGTGTTGTAAGCCACAATGAGAAGACCTGTGATCTAATCTCTTCACGTTCACTTACACATCAGATCTTTCTGATGACCTACTATAAAATGATCTAATCATTCATTAGCATTTCATTTGGCTGGAGTGACCTTACACAGCATGGTGTTCTCCCCTGACTTATTATTTCTATTTTTATGTGTGTGTGTGCAGCTACGTCATCCTGTCTTTTGAGGGGAAAGGTGATTATATGGACATGAAGCAAGCAGACACCATGCAGTACGTCCCCATGCTGGAAATGAGTGAAGCCTCAAAATACTCACCCCTCCATAGATCAGACTACGACCATCCTCCATCTCAGAGACAGTTCAACGGTGAGAGAACTCTCGTAAATATATAATCACCCAAAAATGAAAATTCAGTCATCATTTACTCATCATCATGTCATTCCAAACCAGCACGACTTTCATTCTTCTGTGGAACACAAAAGCAGATATTTCGAAGAATGTGCTGGTCGCTCTTTTCCTTGCAATTACAATGAAGCACTGACGCTTTCAAGCTTTAAAAATAAACGCAAACGTACCATAAAAGTATAATTAAGACTGACTTGTGTGCCGTAAGACTTCTGAAGCCCTACGGCAGCTTTGGACGAGGAACAGACTGTACAGGATTAGTCCGATCAAGTGATTCATTGAAAAGGTCCGACTCTAAAGAATCATTCATTCTCAAATCATGAACTTTTGTCAAGCAGAGCTAAAGCATTTGTCAAGATTTGAAATTCGAAAGCTCCATTTCATTGTAATTGCACTGAAAAGAGCATGAAAACTAATTTCTCCTCGTGGTTAATGGAAAAAAGAAAGTCAGACGGGTTTGGAATGAAATAAAGGTGAAGAAATTATGACAGAATTTTTTATTTTAGGGTGAACTATATTTTTTCCCTTCGGCTCTTTACTTTTTCGGTCTGTCCCTCGCTTACTGCACATACTCAGGTTGGTTTGGCATGCTGTGGTCTGGTTTGGCTTGGCTGGTGTTTATAGGACACACACTGATGTTTAGCTAGTGATAGCAGAGGTCCACCCATGTCACTGTAGTCTATGCACCCTACAATTACAGAGGGTAATTGTAGCACAGACGTCTTAATGCATACATCTGCCTGCCATTCCGCAGACTTTACACACACACACACTCAAAAGATAATTTTCAGCATGCAGTGCTAATTCAGAATGTATTTGTGTGAACAACAGAGAGTGAAGTTGAGAAACTTCTCTCAGATGACACCAATGAAGGCCTGACAACAGTGGACCTCCTCAGTTTCACCTATCAAGTAGCTCGAGGGATGGAGTTCTTGGCCTCTAAGAACGTAAGTTACATCCTGTTTGTACAGGATAACTGCCTCTGTCGCTTTTGTCTGTAAACATTTGCTCCAAAACACTTTTGATCTCATTTATAAGTACAGTTATGCAGTTTAGACATAACGTCGAGACATAACATTTAAGTGATTCTGAAAGTCTTTGTGGAGGAGGTGATCTGATGGCAGGTTACTATATTTGAGAAAATGGTTGACTGTATGTGCTATGGCTGTATGGTTAAAATTCATAGGATTGAGGGTTTGCAGAACCTCCTTGGTTAAATAAAACCTCTCAGGACAGAGGCCAAGCATTGGAAATTATGTTATCATTTCATGTTATGTTATAGTAAGTATTAATTAGACTTCTTGTGTTTGGTAACAGAGGGTTTACTAAATCTCATCTTACAAAAGTGGACTTTCCAGACCACCCTTGAAGAAAATCGAGGGTGGGATTGAAAGCTGATGAAAGGGATGTACCATGAACATACAGTTGCAGCTGTGATTCCAAACTAGGGTGTACTTAAACAGATTCTAAAAGGTTCTTAGATATTTTTATTAAACTTAAAAAAAAAAGTGAAAGTGAGTGAAAAAGTGAAAAAAAAGTGACGTGTGGCCAAGTATGGTGACCCATACTCAGAACTTGTGCTCTGCATTTAACCCATCCAAGTGCACACACAGTAGTGAACACACACCTGCAACATATGGAGCAGTGGGCAGCCATATTGCATTCGGTGCCTTGGTCAAGGGTCTCACCTCAGTCGTGGTATAGAGGGTGGAAGAGAGCGCTGGTTATTCACTCCTCCCACCTACAATCTCTGCCAGACCTGAGACTCGAACCCACAACCTTCGGGTTACAAGTCCGACTCTCTAACCATTAGGCCACAACTGCCCCCA